CAAGGAAAGGAGGTAAGAGGTGACTGTGACCATAGATTAAAGATTAACCCATAAGACTATATCTTTTAGAAGTGCGTGACCTCGTTTGTATTTTAATAAAAAAAAGAAATCTTAAGAGACAACTATTTCAGTGCAACTACTGTGTATAGTTACACGTTGAAATGCACTTGTTACAAAAAGCACATCATCGGAGGTTCTTTGTAACACACATTAGTCATTTGCCAAATTGGTGCTGCCACTGATGCAGAATAAAAAAGGGTATTTACCTGTGACATCTGATCTCGGCCAATATGTCAGTGGGTTACATAGTTGGGAACTGGTTGGAATACTGCCTGTGGTGCTTGTGCTGATGGATCCCAATTGATGTCTGTCAATCAGCTTGTCAGTAAATTAAAAAAGAAAAAAGAAAAAACTTCATCAGGAGATAGGTAAGTAGGTTTAGTGTCTTGAATATACATACATGTGTGTGTATGTATGTATTGTAATTTCCACAATATAATTATGTCTCTAAAAAAAACCCAAAACAAAAAAAAAACCCCAAACAACTACTCCAGTTTACATTAACGTCAGAATTCAGATATATTTTTGGTGCATTGTGCTCCTTGCAAATTCAAATTTCTGTGAGGAACAAAAGAGAAGCCAGGATTATCTTTGAGAAAATTAAAAACATTACAGGGATACCTTTCCAGCTGATCCAAAGTGTTGTGGTTCTACTTAAATGTCACATATATCTAACTGTCCATATAGCCTTCCCAATAACATTAACCAACTAATTTTATTTACTATGTCCATTTCATTATTGGTAAATAATAATGAAAAATGTGTTAAAATTACAGCATACTGGCAGTATAGTCCCTTATCAAGTATAGAAATTTTTCATATTGCTAATAACATGTCCTGCACTTTAAAAATGTAAGCTACTAAACTACACTTGGCTGGAGCTTGGAGGGGATGAAAGGGCGAGAAGTGGAAGGGCACAACAGTATGGTTCTACTAATGAACTTCTGTTTTTAATTACTTTATCGTTTAGAGAAGCTTGTTTCATTTGAGGGATTATTGTGTGGAAATATTAATACATCTTCTGGATGTTCGATTGGCACTTTCAATTTTTGTCATGCCTTTTTTTTTTTTTCTTTTTTCCCCAGTTTTTGACCATTTCTACTAAACTCCTCAACACATTTGAACTCGAGTGATTGTCTTGACAAAATATTCCATTTCGCAAGGAAGGAATCCTTTTAAAATATATATTTAAGCAGAAGAATTCAGAATTACGGGGATAGCATTGAGTCAAAATGGAAAAAAATTCCTTACCTTTGAGCTGGCAGCCATATTTTTATAACAGACGTTCGTGCTCGCTTCTACTATTTGATTCCACAAAATCATAAGCACATATTTAATTGTGTGTGGAGGAGTTGTTTGTTGACCTTGGTAGGATAATGCAGGAGCATAGTTAAACATGCATATAAACTTTTGCAAAATCGAGGCTTAGTTATGCCTCTGTTTAACAAAAAGTTATTTGACTTGGAAAATTTACTGTGTTAATACCATGTTACAAACTAGTTACAGACTAGTTAGAAACACTAGGCATTTATAAATACACCGGAATATCAAGAAGCTCCCTGCTTTTCTAACAGTGAAGGAGAACCCATCACACACTGCTATATAGACACGTACAGAACATACGATTGCTATTTATAGAACTAATGACTATAAAACATTTGTGTGCCAATCTAGATATCTAGTGCACTTTAAAAGCAGAGAAGCAAGAATGTGTATTGTCCAGAATGAGAAGGAGAGGGGATAGCAAATAAGTATCCGGCATCAGTGGAAAACTATTGTGTTTAGTCCCAAGCATCACTAAAAGAACCGAGCAGACAGTAAAAAGTGATTGCAGTTGTATCAAGAATATCCATCGTTCCAAATTCAGTCCTTCTGCTCTAGCATTACCCATTCTAAGCAAGTGCCTTTCCTAACAACTCTGAAACACTGTCCCCACCTTCATTTTACAGACCCTGGGAGATATTCCGAGGATTTAGTTTTATTAGCATATAAATAAGAAATTAAGAGTATAAAAGAGTTCAGGTCAAGTATGTCCATGGACTTTGGCTGCCATGGACTAAGCCCATCCTTAGGTCCTTTCGTTCTTCATATGGTAACTCCCACTACCTTCAGTGTAGGGGAACAGGTTATTTATGCCACTGAATTGGCACTGACCCACTTAAGGTGTTACCTTTGGTCCACAGGACAACACAGCTGGCTTGCTATGCTTTCATACCAGCCTGTTTTCTGCTGGTGTATGAGCATTCATCATTCCTGGTACCTGCCATGGCTTAGGCTGCCCACCCAAATCCCTGCACTGCTCTCCTTTAACTCTCTTTTCTGTGCTCCTCATGTCTGTTCGGTTCCACCTCTCGTCTCCCTCTCCTCTGTATCCAGCCTGATCCTGCTCCTCCAGCTCTGTGTCCCAAGACCAGATAAATGACAGCTGTCCCTCTTCTACCATCCCAGTTCATTCCATTCCCTCCCAGCCATCATTTTCCTGCTATTCTGCTCTGTCTGGAGCTTTGTATCAGCAAATACAACATTTGTGTTTTCCACTGCTACTCCTATATCTAAGCACAGCTCTGCTTTTATAAATGGCATAACAATCTCTCATAATAAACCTTCCTAAGAAATTATAGCCCACAAAGACCAGCAATGATTTTAAGCCAAATCATTTTGCACAGGGAGAGCCAGAAGGGCTTAACAATAAATTATTCAGATAATTTCTATGTCTACATAAACTCTCTGAATCATTTGTTATAGAGATATAAAAATTACTTCACCAAAAATGCTTTGGCAAGTTATACCTGAGCATGAGGGGAAGCATACAAAATTTCAGGAAGATAAATTCCAGCTCTCAGAAGCAGAGTTTGAAAAGTGGCTGAAATGAAAACTACTTGACCCTCAAGTAGGGAATGACTCCAGCACATTGCAATGGGAATGAGAGTGCCTCCTTTTCTCAGAGCAAGTAAAATAATGGGGTCTGCCGGGAGCCAGCCACGCCAGACCCACATTCTGACTCACCATTGAACATTTACTAGTATGAAAACCAAGAGGATAAAAAAAATCATATTGGTTTCTCTTTTCTTTCTTTCTTCCACCCTTCTAAAACTATATAAATTAAGGAAATAGTATAAAACCGAGGTAGAGTTGAAGCCAGCGATGTGTGTTATTGTTTCCTTGCGAAAGGACAGGTTCTCATCCATGTCTGAAATTTAGCATCTGTTTTGGTTCAAAATAGTGTAGGAACAACTGTGAACATTTTCGACCCCTTCAGAAAAGGATGAAAAGGAGCTGCAAAATTACTGGGGGAGGAGAAGTCCCAGTGTTTTAACTGAGTGCATCTACACTAACAGGAGGCCTTTTTAAAGGCTTCCTTGAAACACAATATTGTCTTCCAGGGTTAATCCAGGATAGTAACAATTAATTGTAAATTGAGAAACGGCTTTAATTCTTCAAAACTAGAAAAACCTGATGCACCAAGCCCACTCACTTAAAGGGCTAGCAAAAAGAAGACAATGTGGCCTCACAAAGTGGGAGGCTTGCAAACTGTTTAGCTTTTAGAAATGAAAGTGAAGTGGGAATGAAATTCACTCTCTCTTATAAATTTAACATCAACAAATGTTTTTACAATGCATTTGTTTGCTGGATTAATGTGATTTATGTCTTGTATCAAGTGATCTGTGATGGTGTTCTTTTTTGCTATCTGGACATATTTTTTCATCAACACAAATCACTGCAATTACATGACCAGTAGAAGGGAGAAGGTTGATCACCAGTGATAAAGCCCAAGATGGATTAGTGTCGTGTTTCTTATATCTTTGTTCTTTATCTTAAAAAGCCATCCTTAGTTGCTTTTTTCTGGTCTCTTACACTTTATTTGCTTGTTTCCTGCTACTTGAGTGAGAACCATTTAAGATATTGGTAGGTTTTCTTAGTGCAAACAGAAGGGTTTTTAAGTTGCAGTTTCATGAACAGTTTTTTACTCATGAAAGTGGCATAATTTTGAGTAACCAAAGATTTTAGTACAGTATGATATGGTAGTACGTTAAAAATATTTAAAACAATGCCATTTGAGCATCTTATTCTCTGCTCATATTCTCTCAATTTGCATCACTATGAAGATACCCTGGAAGATATCTAGAAGCCATCAGGAAAAATCGAGTTCCGATTAGATTATGCAACAAAAAATAGTAACTACTGTAATGAAGCCAAAAGAATAATAAGTAATAGAGTTGAACCCGTACTGTTCCTGTAATATTGGATGTGTTTTATGCTTGCTTATTTTGACTGTAACTTCCACTTGCATTCTTGAAATGTTATGATATGTAAGAAACTACCACATTGTAATCTTTATTTTGTCTGTTTTTAAAGGCATATGATGGGTTTGCCAGTTTAGGAATATCGCGATTGCTGGAACCTTCTGACATGGTTTTATTAGCGATACCTGACAAACTGACTGTTATGACCTATCTCTATCAAATAAGGGCACATTTCTGTGGCCAGGAATTAAACGTGGTTCAAATAGAGGAGAACAGTAGTAAAAGCACATATAAAGTGGGTAACTATGAAACGGACACAAACAGTTCTGTCGACCAGGAAAAATTCTACGCAGAGCTGAACGACCTGAACCGGGAGCCCGAGCTGCATCCACCGGACAGTGCTTTGGCAGACTTTGCTTCTCAGGACGACTCCGTATTTGTAAATGACAGTGGTGTTGGCGAATCTGAGAGTGAGCATCAGACTCCTGATGACCATTTAAGCCCAAGCACAGCTTCCCCTTCTTCTCGCAGGACTCGAAGTGACACAGATCCACAAAAATCCCAGCAGAGCTCTGGAAGGACTTCTGCGTCTGAAGACGTTGGGAAGTGTAGCAGTACAGATATAACGCAAGCGCAGCCTACATTTGGAAGGAAGAAACTGCTGATAGCTGACACTTTAGACTTGAGTGACTTGGCACATGTCAGTGATCAAAAAGAGGATGTGTCTCCCACGGTTGCTTGTGAAGATAATGACAAGAAGAGACACCAGATCTCAGGCAGTACCATTGGTTTCTCAGAGCAAGAAAAGCTGGGATGTATAGGATCCACAGAGAGCACAGGAGCAGATCCTGGTTCACCTGTCACAAAGCCGAGTTTATCTCCTACTTCTAAGCTTGGATACTCCTATAATAAGGATACGGATCTTGCAAAGAAACTGCATGCTTCTCCGAGGCAAACAGAATCTGATTCTGACAATGATGCCAGAACGGCTTTAAGTCATGCAGATCAAACTGCAAAAACAGCCCAGGTAAGAAATTTAAACTTTCTGTATGCCTGTGAGTCAGGATGGAGGTGCTCTTTAAGTTCTTTCTCCATGTTTGTGGTTTACACCATATCTTCAGTATAAATGGCAAGGTGGGCAGTGTATATTTATTGCTGGGCAATAAATACTTCGACTGAAAGTAGGTGATACTGAAAAAGAGCCATTACATGAAAAATTCATTTATAGGAATTGTCCTGCCGTTTATCTTTCCAATCTCTCTCCAGTTAAAGGAAGTAATGTTGTATTCTCAACCAGCTCGAAGAAGATGGTTTCAAGGTTTTTGGCACCTTTCTTCTGAGTATTGCATGCTGAAGCAGAAATTGGAAAAATACTTATCAATTCATTGATCCATATTAAAAAAATGTAAAGTTTTGAATACCTTAAAATACACGAAACATATTTCCAAATCTTATCTGAGAAACCACATGGCTGTGTGAACATAGCCCACAATGGTGAGGCAGAAGCTCCAGAATATTAAGTTATGCTGTTCACTGAGGGGCCTCGAGCGCGTTACTTAACCACAACATCATTTTCCTTTCTATAAAGATAAAAAGGATATGCCCACCTACCTTGCAGATTTATTGTGAGGATGAAATTTGAATATTATATAAATGCTGGGTATTATCAGTAAATAGTATAATCACAAAAATATGTAAAAAATGTTATCAGCCCTGTTTACAAAAATGCCAAAGCATGCTTATAACTTTATCCCTGTGAAGAGCTTTCTTGAGTTTTGGCTTTGTTCAGCTTTGTGCCGTTAGCTCTGATAAGAAAAGAATATAGCCAGTCTTTTGGTAGTGTGGATTGCTTCAAATATTTTTACATTTTCGCCTGAGCAAGCATCATAAAGATTCATTTTATTGCAAGAGAAGCAGTCCATGGATGGGTGATAGTGGCCAAATATTAGTTCCATAGCCAGCTAATTTCTTCCCTTTAATTAGTGAAGTCCCGTGAAGTTTCTCTTTGTCATCATCTTTGTGTACTGGATGAGAAAGGAACAATTTGGCCCATACAGAGTAATAGAGCAGGATGAGACAGGATGTCTTCTCTACGAAGATTTTCATGTGCAAGGTGTAATAGGCCAAGAAAAAGGAAGAGATGGCTTTAAAGACAGTTCTCTGTTGTTAATCTTCTGTGCATTTGCACATGGTAATAAAATCTCAGATGTGAGCCTCAATCTTAACCTTGAACACTCAATTGACGGTTAGAGTCAACCACCTCAATTCCACATGGTTGTTGCAAGAGCACAACCTGTAACATCTGTCTACCTCGTGTAAAGGCCTAGAGATGCATTTTCCCAGAGTCTTCACAGTTGACCTTGACTAAGAAGTCAGCGCTTGGGAGTATATATGTATGGGAGCTGCTCATGTTGCCTATGCAGAAGCCCCCCTTCTGTTATTTTTACTCTGCAATATAATCAGTCGTGTATGAAGAGGGGACTTTCTTGTGGATATTCATAAATGAAGTAGAAGCAGATATTTTTGTGGGTGTCTTTGCCTTGTACCCAGTCTCTTTGTGTTCAATTTAAGTTATAAATGAGCGATACTCATATAAGTAGTCAACAAAGCATTATATTTGCATACATATTAAAGTAAATAAGTAAACACATAGCACATTTAACATAGCTTCCATGAAGCCAATTATTTGTTTTCCACAGTTGCAGTTTAAAGGCATTAAATGTTGATAGAAATTAAGTTTTAAGGGGAGGGGAGAGAACTCTTATTTACATTATAAAGGCCTATGACTTTTTTAATTTTACATTTTGATCATCTTTACTTTTCATTTCTATAGAATGCTCTGTCCCCTCATGAAGCTGTAATCCATGTGACTCCTGACCTTCATTATATAGGAAGGCTGCTGGCTATTAACTACTGTATAAACATTAAGTACCCTGAGGCTGCCTTGCTGTTAATTATATTTCTTTATTTTTAAGCAACGAATGTTGTCAAGACAGGAAGAACTTAAAGAACGAGCAAGAGTTCTGCTTGAGCAAGCAAGAAGAGATGCAGCTTTAAAGGCAGGGAATAAGCAGCTAACCAATACGATCATCCCAGCCCGCAATAACCAGCTGAATGATGTAAGAAATATTGGCCACTATGGCAGTTTACGTAGTTAAAATTTATTGTATGTGCATATGCTTTTGTGGGGGGCATGTCCTTGCAGAATATTTCTTTTCCACGCTGAATTGCTCTGATGTGTCGTGTACCCTTCGTTCACTTTTGAAGCCTGTTTCTTCTGCTGTTTTGGCCAACAGAAGGATGCCTTAGACTTCACTGGAAGCAGAGGTCTGGGAGCACCTTCTTTGATTGGCACTGCAGTTTCTAATGGAATGAAAAACAAAAGTTACTTGTTAAATGATAGTGAAGTAATTTATGCTTTTTTTGATTACTTCTCTTTTTTCAGTTAATGTAAATGCATTCCCTGAGCCTGTGATGTCAGCTACTTGCTGCTTCATAAGTGTTGTTGCAGTGAATGAAGCTGCTTGTGACAGTCTTGTAAAAGAGTTGATGGAACAATTCCTTTTTATCACCAAAGTTGATTATGCTGGTGAGATGGGAAAGTGGAGCTGGGGAATGAGCTCCAGTGTTGAAGCAGCTACGGTTGCACCTCCAGTGGCCTCCGTGGTGACCTGGAAGGATGCATACTCTCTGGAGATGAAAGCTAATTAATTTTTATGCAAACCTTTGCAGTGCGGGTTTTGTGATTCTGACTATTGCGCATTAGAGACTGTACTGGCAACTGAGAATGTAAATGTAACTGAAAAATAATGATACAGAGAAAGGCTTGAATCTTTACTGATTCACATCTTTCAGAGCCTAGTCCTGAGGGGCAGATTCTGCTTTTTACATAAATGGGATCAAACAATCAAAAAATGAATACAGTGATTTACATGTCTCATTTCATTCTCTTAACTGTCTTGGATCCATGCTGTACTTTTTTTTCCTTAACAATTCCTCTCCCCAAACTGACACTTCTTTTTTCTTCAAAATATATTCATATATGCAGACAAGTCTTATTTGTATAATGATAACATAATGATATATATGCAATTTTTTCATTACATTGTATTTAAGTTTTTCCTAGATAAGTGTATTTTAGTATGAGTTTCACTTCGGATTTTTTTAAATTAGTTTTTCATAAAGCAAACAGCGTTAGAGGAGGGATACTATAGGCAACTACTCAGGCAGGAGCAACTGTAATTAACGTTGCCCAACATTTTTTATTACAAGCTCCTATTTTCAAAGGTTTTACAACTTTGCTAGTATTTCATTGTTTGAGCTGAAATTTTCCCCATCAGCTTTCTGCCTCAGGGTAGTTTTTTTTTTTTTTTTTTTACTTCAAAATGAGAAGTCATAATGTAGAGTCATTAGTTACTTTTGAAAATCTTGTCTCGCAGGCCTTGCTATTACCACTTTACATTTGTCATATGAGAACTATGAGTTACTGTTTTCTTGGTAAACAAGTGAGAACAATATACAGTGTGTGGGGTTATATTGCTGCTTGAGGTCAACAGAAGGGAGGAAATTTCCAAGTCTGTTCCATGGTCATAAATACAGGTTACTTGGTATGTGCTTGCCTGATTTGTTTTGGTAGAAGTCTTTCTTGAGAAAAACAGTGTTCCTGTTTCTCCTCTAAGCATAGAGAAATACCTTAGACCTTCTTCAGCCTAAGCCTTACCCTTCCTCTGGTAGAACCAATATTGTGTTATTTTTTTCAGTAATCATATACTCTGGGCTTGCGTGTCTTTTTTTTTTTTTCTTTTTCCCCTTCCCCTTTTTTTTAAATCTCTGTTGTCTCTTTATTGACCACTAACTGGCTTCTCATGAAGTACTGGCTGTTTTCCCATGACATGTCCATTCTCTTGGCTGTTTACCCCTTTTTCTTGAGTCTTCTTTCTTGCTGCATTGTGCTTCCATCTTCTCATGTTTGCACTCTGGGGTTAGGCCCGTGTCAGTATTCTCACTTGCTTTACTTTTTTTTTTTCTTTTTAACTCAGAAATTGATGAAGTTGTGGGAGCAGAAGATTAAGGCACTGAATTTGCTCATATACCTGTTACCTCAATGCCATTTTCCTCTAAGTCACATATTTCTCATTGCATCCCAAGTTGTATCTTCCTCCCCTTCTTTAGTTTGTGTCTTCTTGTTCTCTACTCTCTCTCAGACTGTATTTCAGGTGTCTGCCCTGGCCGTTTCAGCTCCCTTTCTTCTCATTTTTAACTTTTCTTTCTTAATACCCGCTCTCTTTACTCTTTCTTCCCTCTGTGCCTTCTGCCCCATCATCTTCCATTCCTGTTCAACCCAGCTGATTTAGTCCTGTCATTCTCTGCTTGCTTCCTCTATTTGTATCATATTAGCCCCTTTTCTTTTCTCCCATTTCTTCCCTACTTGCAGTGTGGTAGAAGTTTTTTCACTGTTAGGTCTGCTCATTTGGAGCTTCTCAGAAGCCTGCAATCTGCAAGCTGTATGCATGCCAGCCTATATGGAGGTATGTAAGCCTGTAGGCGGGTATTTGAAGTTAAGAAAAGACTGCATTGATCAGAAACTCCTTGAAAACATGCTCATGGTTTGGGAGGATCATAGATATGTCCTTAAAATTGATGCAGCCTTTTGGAGACTAGAAGAATTAGCTTAAGAGCTCTGTGAACAGTTACTGATCCCCTCATGGATCCTTTTCTCTATGGTAGATGTATAAACAGCTCAGCCTTTCTGCTTGCTTTCTTGATGTAGGTGTGCATGTAGTGACTCTTTTACAAGATGCTTCTGTCATTTCCAATCTGGTGTAGCAGCTGTAATCACTTAGCTTTTAACCAGGAGAGCCTTTTTATTAGCTTACTCATTTTTATTTAACTCACCTTTTCTCATGATGAATATCACAGGGCTAGAAGGGACATATCTGCTCCCACCAGATGCTGTAAAATATCAGCCTGTAGTGATGGTTGTTAGCAGCGGCAGCTTGGCTGGAATGAGGTGTTGGAAAGGCGAGGAGGCTGGAGCTGGTCTGTGCAACCTAACTGGCAAAGTGACAGGCTAGAGAGGACCACAACAAGTGGGAAATACTCAGGAGTCACAGAGCTAAAAGGTCTTTCCAGCAGGGAACCCTCACTTGCAGAATGTGGAGTGGAATCCATAATTCTTGAATCTCAGTATAACTCCGCTGTCAGCAAATATCTGTGAAGGCCAGGGGCAAAACGTTCGTCTTACTCTCCTTTAATGACTGGTCCACATAAAGAATGGAAATTTACTGCAGCTGTCGTTTACTCTGTAAACTCAAATGGCTATGGTTATGGAGTCAGTGTGATTGCAGAGAATGGAATTAGGAGTTAAGAAATGCACAGGCAACTTTAATTAACCTCCTTTGTGTATATGCATTATGATGCAGTCTTGTGATCACATACTATTTTCCCCAAAGCAATTGTGTCTTATTTAGCTCAGAGGATTGAGATGATGTAGAAGGCTGTTTGTCCAGAGGATCTCTGTCCTTTCGGTTGCAGAAATTGAAAGGTGTGTGGCAAACGAAGCAGGGATTGCAAGGAGCAAAAAGATGAGGTCACAGTTAAGGTGCTTGGAAGAATTAAATGTAATGCTGTCTTTGCCTCAGAGTTCCCGATCAGTACTGCTAAGTCTTTTGAACCAAACTTCCTCCAAGTGGTCATTAATTGTGTATCCTTCCTTTCCGGATTGCCATTTGAGGTGAAGGTTTGATTTGCAGATGTATTGAGCATCCAGGTCTGTCAGGGAAATCACTTGGATCTGTGCTTGAGGCACATAAAGGGCTGCATAAAGCTTAGTATACTGAAAAAAAGCCAGGTAATAGGCTTCCCAGAGTGAGCACCCAGTGTTAGATCCTTTTAGCTGGATCTGTCCATCTCAGTTCCCATCCGAAGAACAGAGTAATAACATCACCATGGGGTGTTGTGAGAAGGGAATGTGATTAAAGCTTTTGAGGCACTTAAATACCGTAGTGATGAGCACTGTAGAAAAGCCCTTGAAGAAATTAATAATTCTGTCCACAGAGCAAGATTTGAATATTGTGGAGTAAAGAATGGTGCTACATACTGATGGGCCTATGTATTGAACAGTGAAAATAAACCAAAGTACTGGTAGAGCTGGGTAGAGCTCAGATCTGGGCTGAATATCAGGGGATAGTAAAAGTAAAAGGTGGTGCCACGACAAGGGTCTATTCTAAAGGATACAGAGCGGGATGAAAATCAAGGTTGTGCTCAGTAGTTTTATTTCTGGTATCTCCTAAATCGTGTGTCAAATTCTTTTAACTTTTTTGCAAGGTAGATAGCTTTAGCAGAGAATGCTGTATAGCATGAAATTAATGAAAAATAGTGCTCGTCTGGCAAAGGATGTGTTTTTCTTCCTAACGCGGGCCACAGATTGTTCCTGAAGTTGTTTGGTTTTTGCTTGAGCTAAGGATTCCTCCTTGGTGAATTTAGGTGCAGGACTAGGCCCCTCATACGGATTCAGCCAAAAATTTTGCATATTTAGGATCTAGCATATGTTCTGGCATGCAGGAGTTCAATAGCGTGATACATGGAGGGAATCACTCTGTCTTTTGCCTCTTGTGAAATAGGAAAGTAGTAATTCTTTTTTCACAGCGGCATTCTGAGGATGACTACAGTAAAAATTGTGAGGGACTCAATTCATTCGATAAGTATTTAAAACCAGCTTAATAATAAACTGAAGGGGTGTTTTCAGAGAGCAATCCTGATGCTGCTGCTGCTGTGCTTAAATGCAACTGTTGCTAGCCTGCTTTCTGTACAGAGAAAGATTTGGTTTTACTTATCTCTGCTACCATTATTTCATATTTGTTCAAGTTGAATGACAGCTATAGCTGCCTAAATATAAAAAAAAAAGTTTGAAAGAGCAGTGGGGACTATATTCAGCTTTTGTAGTAGAATTTGCAGATACGAAGTACCTCACCAAAAAGCTGTTACCTCCAAACATGCAAACACTGTCTGTATACAGAGGGCAGCAGGAACAGGCTATGCCACGAGATTGTTTCTTTCTGCTCAGAATATTTGCTCAAAGGACTTGTTGCAGCTGTGTCTAATTCATGTTTAATAAGCT